ATGACATAGAAAGATAAGCAAGGGGTATTCATCATTTACAGATCAACAGTAAGCTCATTGATCATAAAAATGGGGGGAAAACCCACATGTACAAAAATATTTATAGCAGCTCTTTTTGTGATGGCAAAGAACTGGAAATTGAGAGGATGCCCATCAATTGGGAAATGGCTGAACAAGTTGTGGAATATGAATGTAATGGAATACTATTGTGCTATAAGAAATGATAAGCAGGTAGACTTTAGAAAAACCTAAAAAGACTTATATGGACTGATGCTGATGAAGTGAGCAGAACCAGGAGAACATTGTACACAGTCACATTGTGCAATGATTAATTTTGATAAACTTAGCTCTTCTCAGCAAGGCAAGGATCTAAGACATCTCCAAAAGCCCCACAACGTAAAATGCTATCCACATCCAGAAAAAAACTATAGAGTCTGAATGTAGATGGAAACATACTATTTGCTCTTTTTTTTAGTTGTTTTGTTTCTTCTTTCTCGTGATTCCTCCCATTGGTTCTAATTCTCCTTTACAACATGACTAGTGTGAAAATATGTTTAATATGAATGTATATGTGGAGCCTATATCACATTGCATGCTGTCTTGGGGAGGGGTGAGGAGAGGGAGGAGGAGAAAGCTTAAAACTCAAAATCTTATGAAAGTGAATGTTGAAAACTAAAAATAAATAAATTCATTTAAATTTTTAAAAAAGAGTAAGCTCATTTTAGGATTAGTGAACAATCAATTAGATAGATCAGAGGTCAGCCAACTATAGCTCACAGGCCAAATCCAGTAGAAAAATTTGGCCTGTAGGTAGTGGGCTGGATTTGGCACTTGGGCTGTAATACCACTGAGATAAATCCCAAATGTATCAGTTCTCCATCTGCTTCTCCATCAGTTTGCCATTCAATGTTGCTGCATGAAAAATGGAGACCATCATTCCTTTTCCCATCCCACTCCATCTACCGTGGACAGAATTGGGAAGGGAGGGCGAGATGTGAAAACATTTAGAACACAGAGACACAGTTTTCCTAAATGGGTCTTCTTTGCTGAACACTATACCATGCATAAAAAATATAAATTCCTAAATTTCAGAGACCTCCTTTACACACCAAAAGCCAGCTCTTTAGCTAGCCTCCCTAGGTTGATTCAAAGAGCTCTCTGTCTGTCTGTCTCTCTGTCTATCTGTCTGTCTCTCTGTCTCTCTCTCCTCACTGCTTCTAGGTTTTCTGTGTGTCAATATATGCAAATATATTTGATCATTCTCCACAAGCCATAAAAACTCAATTGAGTGCCAGAAACAGAAGGCTTTGAAGAAACTAAGGTTATAAATCTTCTCCCTTATGACAGCGCTAACATGAAGCATATTAAAGAAGAGAAAGTCAGTCTCTTCAGGCTTCTTCCAGCTCTCAAAGTTGGTGATTCTCAGATTCCTTAGGGCTTATTTAACTACTCCCCAGTTCTCTGCTCTGCCTCCCCTTCCCCCCAATTATGGCTGAACTTCTTAGAAGATTTTGCTTTAGATTGTATGCTCCTTGAGGACAAGTATAACAAGACTTTGATAAATGCATAACCTATGTGGGAGGTACCAGGAACTTGCTTCTGAGAGAAGACATTCTGTGTTCCCCTACTGCATGGATGCTTCCATCTTAGAAGATCTGGGCAAGCATTAAAGCACCTTTGCACTCCCGAGATGGAAACATCCATGTGAGTGGGTGGGAACCTGCTTCTGGGAAAAGACATCCTGTGTTTCCCTACTATGTGAGTACCTACGTATTAAGTGATATGGGAATGCATCAAATTCCTGTTATACAAGGACTATATTTTCTACTTCCTTTTTATCCCTCATAGTAGATAGCACATAGGAGAAGGTCAATAAATACCCATTCATTAACTGATCCTTTGAGCATATGCAAATCCTATTGTGGGAGTGGGCAAGTGAAAGTAGGAGGACGAGGAAGGAGACAGCTGAGGGACAGGAGTGCTAGATCATGGAGCATCTATATCACACTCAGACGTCACCTGGGATTTCCTCACCTGGGATTTTAAGATTGTCATATGTCTCCTTCCACGTTATTCATCTAGGCAAGGCAGGGCAAGGCAACAAGCATTTATGAAGTATTTACTATGTTCAGGCTTTGTGCTAAGTGCTAGGGATACATTTACAATAGAAACACAAGACAAAAAGCATGGTATGAGGGAAAGAGAAGAGAAGGTATCTAAATTGTAGTATAGTGTTGAAGTCCAGAAAGACAGAAGCACAGCTGGGAAAGGAATGTAGTTTAGCTAGTTCCAAATAAAGGAAATCACCAGTGGAAGAAGGAAGCTGATACAGTAGAGTGGACACCTTGGTGGAATAGTGGATAGAGTGCCTGGCCTGAAGTCGGGAAGATACAGCTTTGTAAAATTAAATCTGGCCTCAGACACTTACCTAAGGTAAGTGACCTTAGGCAAATCACTTAACCCTGCTTGCCTCAGTTTCCTCATCTGTAAAATGAGTTAGAGAAGGAAATGGCAAATCATTCTAGTATCACTCCCAAGAAAAACTTAAATGGGGTCACAAAAAGTCAGGCATGACTGAAATGACTGAACAACACAGGGCAGGGATGTTCTAGGTTAGGAAGGACATAGGGACTGCTGGATGTTCCAAGGTGAGGTGGCCCCAGGCATGGAGGGAAGTTTCAGGGTAAGACTGAAGTAGGGACATTTTGTGGAAGTTCAGAACGTGGGAATGGAAGAGTGAGCCTGGAAAGGAAAGGAGGGAGAAAGGAGCTAAGTTTTGACAAGATGAAACACAATACATCATTAATGTTTAAATTGAAAGGTGCCTTCACTTTCTCTTCCTTAATTCAGTGTTGGCATTATTCAGATCTCAGAGAAAGTATGTTTTATAATCCATATAAATGTACCTTCCCTTGACATTATCCCCTGACCCAAACTTCTTTCCTGCAGTCTTGGATAATGAGATAGCCCTTCTCTTTTGACAAAGACAAGCCCATTTAATAGTCACTTGATCTCATGACCTCCTGCATTCTCCAGTGAATTTCATCTCTCTCCCAAAGTTTTTAACTACCTTCTTTTTGGGTAGAAAAAGATAATGGTTTCCCCTTTGGACATAACGAGTTTGAGATATGTGCAGGAAATCTACTTTAAAATTGCCAATAGACAATAAATGCTACAGGACTGAAACTCAGGAAAGATGCTAGGACTGGATATATAGAACCTGTTGAGAGATAATTAAACCTATGGACATGGATTGGGTTATTGAGGAAGAGTATAGAAAGAGAAGAGAACAGAAGAAAGCCTGGGATAGAACCTTGGGGGAAATCCATAGTAATAAAGGAATGGGATAGATTATAAGCCAGCAAAGGAGACTGAGAAGGAGCAATGATGCAGGTAGGAGAACTAAGAGAGTAATACCATGAAAACCCAGGGAAGAGAGAGTGTCCTGGAGGAGAGGATGATTATCAGTATCAAATGCACCAGATAGGTCAAGAAGGATAAGAATGTTTGGAATAGTTTCTATGAGGAGTAAGATAATCAATAATTGAGAAATTTTTTTTTAAAACTGCCTTTCTGTAGTGAGTGCCCAATTGGATAACATGAATCTATAATATACCCAATTAGCACAATGCTGTGACTTTCTCCAGATCCATTCAGCAGCCTATAGGTAGGAGCAAAAGAAAGAGATGGTACAAGTAAATCAACAGCATAGCTCAAAACTCATCCATGTCATCTAATTTAACTCTTGGTTTTGTCCTTTTGAAAGTTTTGATCCACAAAGTGGGTCCACCTAATGTGCTGAAGGCCTTCTTTTTTCCTGACATCCCAAATGTACCAATGGAGCACTTTGGCTGTCCACCTGTCATTCCCCATTCTTACCATTCAATCAACTCCTCTTCTTATCATATAATTACCTGATGATGACATTTACCCCTGTTCTCTGTTGATTGTAACCTGCTCATATCCACCATTTTCCTCTTCATTGCTCTCTGTGTGGTACTCAGTTTTCAGTACTTTGGAGGCAGTGGTGTTCCTTATCTTGCTGTCATAGAAACAGTACTTGCAAAATATGCCTATCGCTATCTGCTGAAAATCCACTTTTTCTCATGTGCCATTGTGTATGTGAAGCCTTTCTCCATCTTGTCTGTTGAAATCCTTTCCAAACAACAGCAACAAATGAAAATGAATTCTGTGTAATTACAAATTACCAAAGTTGGCTCCAGATAAGAGTCGACAAAATACACCTCTTTCCCTCCTTTATTAAAGATGGGGATTATGTGCATGAAGTGTTACCTATACTGTTCAGGGTTGCTCAATGTCTTGGTTAGTTTTACAAAACTGCTTTTTTCTCTTTTTTTAGTCTTTATTAAGAGGCATGGCTTGTGTTGGAGAGGGGAAGTGATATTTTTGGAGTAGAAGATATTTTTAAAAAGATATAAATGATATTTTTAAATCCTTCCTTTCCTTCAAAATCCAATTCAAATCCTATTTACCCCATGAATATAACCTTCTTCCTCTTCCTGCCCAATATAGAAGTGATTTCTTCCTCCTAAAATTTCTCATAGTGCTTTGCCTGGACCTTTCTTTTGCATTTAGGTATTTGTATTTTTTTTTCCTGCTCTCCATCATTGTATTGCAAACTCCTTGAAAGCAAGGTCTATGTTGAGCCCTGTATTCCTAGGGCCCAGCAACATGCTCTGCATATATAGGTGCTTGATGAATGTTTGATAAATTAATTATGAATTAAATCTTGTTTAAGAGCATAAACCTCAAATTCATTGGAGAAAGTAGCTCTCCATCCACAAGCATGGAATTCATATTCAATAAATAAAGAAAGAATTATTCAAAATTCAGCCCCCAGGATCATGTGTAAATTATTTCACACCTTTTTTTGAGATGTATTGCTTCAAATCTGTTAAGAAGTTTTGTGATTATTTTGCGAAAAGTAGAATGGGAAGGAAAAAGTCTTTACCTTTATTCTTTCACGGATTGTTTTTCAGGTCAGTGGGACCATGTACAACACAGGGAGGCATGTGTCCCTCCGACTCGACAAGGAACATTTGGTCAATATATCTGGAGGACCCATGACATACAGTCATCGCCTGGAAGAGATCCGGTTACATTTTGGAAGTGAGGACAGCCAGGGGTCAGAACATCTACTCAATGGACAGGCTTTCTCTGGGGAGGTATGTGAACTAACTGGAATTGTTGATGTAAGCTGTTTCCCTTTCCAAGGAGAAAGGAACTTTCATCTAATTGTCACTCACAAGAATTGGTACCTACATCCAGGGATACAATTGGTGGATATAGCAAGTACATGCCACATAAAGGTCCATGAAGTGCTTCTAATGGGTTCTAGTGGTTCCAGTCTTCTCTTATAATTTAATAGGGCTGAGGATGCTCCGATACCAAGGAAGGATTTTTTAAAAACTTGATTTTTGCTGACTAGGAGATGATGATTCCCATCCTCGGAGAGTTTCTTAGGGAATTGTATTTGAACCATAACTCCTCACCTCTACTATGAACCTCCTTATAAAACCCTCCTCTACAACTGGTGAATCATGTATTATATATCATAGTCTAAACTCAAAAACAGCCCCGCCTGCCATATGTATGTCATGAGACCCAATTTTAACACATGTCAAATAACTGTCAAATGCCAAACTTGTATGACTGATCTCCTATAAGACAGCTGTGTCACAATGTGTTCCTGTAAATTATGGGTGGCCTTGTGTGACTCCAGAGAAAGCTAACCAGAATTTGTTAAGCTAAGGTCATTTGTGGCATGATCTTTGCTAAGCAGGTTACCAATTAAACCCATTTTCTTTCCATTAAACTCAAAAGTGATCATCAAGTCAAAGTTCTTTTATAAATAGTACAGCTACTAGTTTCTATTTTTGAGTTTTTAGCAAATACCTTTATCACTCCTTTGGTGCCCCGAGATAATATTTGTAACAGCACTTTGGAATGGTAAGGCACTACACCATTTACTCTCTTGTCCCTTTCTCTTTATGTCAATATTGTATACATATTTCTCCTTTCTCCAAGCCTCTTGCAATAAGGTGGCCTTTCTTCTTCCCAAAGCCAATCCCTCTCTATGTGCCCTTGATCCCATCCCTATTCATCTTCTCCAGCAGATTATTGTCTCAATTGTCCTCGCTGTCCATCTCCAATCCCTCCCAACATGTCAGTTTCTTCCATACTGCCTTCAAATATGCCTAAGTCTCTCCCATCCTTAAAAACCTTCACTAGAACCTATCTCACACACAAACACACACAAACACACACACACACATGTCATTATCTTATATTTCTCCTCCTTTTCTCAGCCAAAATCTTCCCAGAAAAAGCAGCCTAGACTCACGGTCTCCACTTTTTCTCCTCTTATTCATTCCTTAATGTTTTGCACTTTGATGCCCAACTTCATTACTTAATTGAAGCTGATCTCTGTAATGTTACTAATGATCCCTAAATTACCAAGTCTGATATTATGTTCTTCCCTTAGTCTTCATCCTTCCTGATCTCTCTACTGCCTTTTGACCTATTAATCACCCCCCTCCTCCTGAATATTCTCTCCTCTCTGTGACATTATTCTCTCCCAGTTCTTTTCCTCACTGGTTTGCCACTCCTACTTAGACTCCTTTGCTAGCTCATCATCCATATCATACTTTTTAACTGTTGAAGTACCCCAAGGCTCTGTCCCGGGTGCTCTTCAGTCTCTACATTTCTTTCTCTAAATTGTTTAAACTGATATCCCTCATTTTCACTACATGATTGGCCCTTCTCCTGTTCTAGTCACATGTGGCCCTGATAATCTTTTATGCTGCCTCTTTCATAACAGCTATATTTTAGCCAACTTAGCCCCACCATAAATATCTTCATTGTCCTTTGAGCCGTCTACAGTTTTGATTCTTCTGAGAGCATGCTGCTCCACTATCTATAGCAACAAAGCATAATGAGGACAAATCTGATATTGAAAAGATAGACTTTGGCAGAAGGGAAAAGTTTGAGATCATTGAAACTTCTGTGTAATTTCTCAAGTGTGATCCAATCTGATCTCCCTCTGAGATATCTATATTGCCTATCTGAGATATTTATACTGATAGACTAACTCAATGGGCTGCCCATCCAAATGGGCACTATATGGAAATGTTCATTCTTCATCTACTTTGATTATTTTCTGTTCTTGATTTCCTTTTTTGGTGGTGGTAGATAGGGTATTGGGTGACAAAGTAAAATCTCAAACTAATTGCAAAAAAAATCCTGCCTAACATAGTGAACTTTTCAATCCTGTTTGTCCTCTACTTATTCCATTTTTCTATCTCTCTCTATGTCTGTCTAGTTATATACAGTGTCCCAAAAATCTTAGCAAAGGTTTATAAGCTATTAAAGTTTAAGAACTGCACTAAAGCTTTTGGGATTTCTTCCATATATGTGTGCATGTTTATATTAAGAAACATAGTTTTATTGCTTTCAAGTTCATGTTGCTTTCAAGAAGGCTAGCACATAGCCTCTTAGAAGTCCTTATAGATTGCCTGTTTTTTAATGAATAAATAAGCATGATTTGTAATTAGCTAGCCAGAAGTATGCAAATGGTTACTTCTAGGTACTGGAGGGTACCTAAAAACAAGCTTTTTTACTGAGAATTTAAATTCTGGCATATTGAGTAGTCTGGTTTATATGATTAACTTATATTCCCAAATGGAGAATGGAATTATTAAAGCAAACAAGTCCAGTCATTATCTAAATTGTCTTAAAATTCAAATGAGTAAAGTATGAATTAATAAAGCTTTACTGGACTAAAGAAGGACACCTTAGTGGGCTGGAAAAGAAACTAAACTATAAGAATGTCTTAATCAAGGAGAAATCTTGTCTGATTATCATACAGAACACCATGCAGGACTCTAAGAAAACAGTCTAATGCAGTGGGGAAAATGGTGGAATCCAAATCAGGAAAAGTGGCATCTAATTCTGACTCTGTCATTAACTTGCTATGTGACCTTGGGTACATCACTTTAATATCTCTGAGCCCCAGTTTGCCTAGATGTAAAATGAAAAAGTATAAGACTCATTAATTTGGAGCTAGAGGAGACCTTGGGACAAGTCTTTCATTTTACAGATGAAGAAACTGAGACCCAGAGAGAACAAGTGATTTTTCTAAGGCCACATGGTTAGTAAGGAGCAGTCAGGATTGGAACCCAAGTTCACTGATTCAAAACTCAGTGATCTTTCTGCCTCATCATGCTGAGTTAGATTCAATGATCTACAAGATACTTTCCATTTTAAGATATTTTCCATCTTTTTTGTGACATAGACCCTGCTTTGGCAAGTTGGTAAAACCTATGACCCCTACTCAAAATAATGTTTGTGAATGCATAAAATGAAATATATAGGACGGCAAAGGAAACCAATTATATTGAAATAAATATGTAATTTATTTCCCATTCAAGTTCATAATCTATCTGAAAGTACAGGATCCATGTTAAGAACTTCTGTTCTATACATTTTGTGCATAGAACATGATGTATTTCTGGAGTTTCTTGGGCAGATCTGAACCTTTGCTGCATTAACTAAAATCCCATTATTTCTCGTGCTTAAACATATTCATGTTTTGTTGGTGGATTCTGAAGAATCCTTTGAGGGAAACCTGAAAAATGGTTTCCAGCAAGTTTATTTACATTGTTGAAGATGAATAATCGAATTACCATCTGCACTATCTATCACTGCCGATAGTGATGAGTCAATTAATGCCTGGCATTTTCACTGGCAATGTGCAACAACAGTTATCCGAAGAGCAGCAGATTAATTGCAGGCTTGTCAAATGATGTTATTGTAATTGATGGTAATCATTTACTTTGTTTTATAAAGCTGGGTGGATGTATCACACAATTGGCACCCACGTTTTCACAAAATTATTCATGTCCCACATACAGAATTCCTGGACACCTCCTTGGAGCTCTGATAAATGAACATATGTATGTATTCAGATGTCTATTCCTTTAAGAAAGGAAAATCAACAGTCATTATTAAGGACGGCTTTCAATCTGCTAATCAAGTCTGAGAGCCTAGATGGCTGGTTGACATAAAGAAAGCAGCACAGGAAAACAAATATTTTAGCAGGAGGGGGGAATATTCGAAAAGAACTTCCATTATTTGTTGACTTAGGTATAAATTGTAACATTAAGAACTGAGTCTAGACAAAAATAAGCTATCTCAACCACCAAGACAAGATGGCTGTAATCCAGAACTCTGTCTGGGAGGCCTGGGAGATGTAGTCATGGCAAACAAAATGGTAGCTTGCTGGAAGTTACTGTCTTAGAGGTCACTCAAAGGTGTCCAGGGATACTGTAGAAACAAGGAGGCAATGTGTTGCAGTGGAAAGAGTACTGCATTGGGAAGCAAAAGAAGTAAGTTCAAATCCTAACACTGCCATTTCATTTCTATATGCTGTTGGGTAGATCACATGATATCCCTACGCTTTAGTTTCTACATTTTTTTTAAATGAAGGAAGTAGAAGCTATGACTTCTGAAACCCTTTCCAAATCCAAATCTACATTCCAATGACTCAGGGAAGATGGATTCAAGTTAGTGTGTTGGACTTGGAGTAAGGAATACCACAGTTCATATCCCACCTCTAACACTAGATATTTGACCACAGGCAAGCGTCAAAAGGATTCCAAGTTAAAAAAAAAAGAAGAAGAAAGGATTCCAAGAGCCAAAGGTGAGGACAGAGAGGATTCCAGGAATGGAGGACAGTCTATGAAAAATCATGGAGGTGGAAGATAAGCATACACACACAAATATACACCACACACAAAGCATCACACACACACACACACACACACATACACACACTACATATACATACACACAAAGAAATTTGGGAAGAAAATGAAGGCAAAAGCATTTAAGGAAAGAACCTTGGAGGAAATAGAACAATCAAGAATCCTTTTTCAGAGTTCTTTTTATTTCCTGAACTACTTTCCTCTTTGGCTTTAGTTTCCTCATGTATAAAATGGGAATAATAATACCTATATAATAATACCTATCTCACAGGGTTGTTGTGTGACTCAAGTGAGATGGAAAAAGAGGAGGTAGTTACAAAGCTGTACAAACTTTATATAGCTTTGTTGTCATCACTACCTCTACTTAGCTGCCAAAGTGATCTTCTGATCACTTTACACAC